GTCCATAGTTGGTTTTGTCATCTTGGATCTGCCTCTTGCATGTGTAGAATAATCCTATTCATAGCTCATCAAACGAGCATGTTATTCTTGCATGTGTTGATCACTTTTCAGTGGGTTTTTGGGCATTATTTGGCATGTCATACCTCTATCTTTTGCTGGTTTAGCGACCTCTTGAATGCTTCACATACTTGTAGTGTAAACCATGCTCACTAGCTTACATTGCATGTTGTCTTGCCCCTTGATTCTAGCATATTTTGGCCATGTTCTAAACTGATTTTACTCATAATTCGGGTTGCCTTAGCTCTGTTTTGAGGTACCATCACTACAACAAGTTGGGTCTTGAATGACGAAATTTTTTTTGTCTCGAAAGGGCTAATTTCGTCACTATAGCTATTTGTGACGAAATATTTTCGTCACAAGTTTCGTCATTGAATGTTTGTCACTAAGAACCATCGTGACGAAAAATAATTTCGTCACCAATGAAATTAGTTCAGTGACGGAATTTTTTGTCAACAATAAAACAAGATTTTGTCTCAAAAAATTCTCATTTTCGTTACTAAATAATTATTCAGTACCATATTTATAGTTTTAGTTGACGAATAAATTTGTCACAAATGTTAATGATTGATGAGGAAATAATTTCGTCACGGTAAGATGTAAAGGTGACGAAATTTTTCGTCTCGAAAAGTCATACATGGGTGACGAAATATATTTTCTCGCAAATATATTTATATACATGACGAAATACATTTCGTCACCAAACAACAAAATCAATGAAAACTTTCATATATGCGCTGCAATAAATTTTGTCACAAAAAATGTTTATTAACGACGAATAATCACTTTGTCATAATAACAAATACAAATGACGAAACAAATTCGTCACTAAATCTGTTCCATATTTTGTATTTTAATTTCAATTATTATTTCACAAATATCCCTGCTCATATCCCAATAGCCTTTTAATTGTACTAAGAAATCCATTAGCTATTATACATCACTCCACAAAAAAATTCAGTAAACAATTTATATTATAAATCAAAATATATCCATCAAACAACTTTAATAATATAAACCATTAAGTGTAACAAAAAAACCATCAAAGCAAATCCCAAAATGAACTAACGTGGAATCCACAAAAAAAATCAACACTCAATCTTGATTTGCAACTACAACTAAGTATTAGTTCAGGAAACAAAATTCAACAGTTGATCTTCATTTGCAAGTATACTTCTAAACGTCATTAAAAACCAATCCGCAAAGAAAATAAACAAAGAAAACATTAATATATTATCAATTACATCTAAACTCATATATAAATAATTTTATTTTATAGACCAATTTAGTAGAAATGCATCTAACAAACCAAAACTTCAAAGAGTTGAGGTGATCCTTGATGATAAAGCAACACGAATAACATAAGATGTCAAAAGATTGCAGAAATACCATATATCACAATCACTAATGGCATAATATATATATATATATATATATAATAGCTCCAAAATATAACGTAGCATTGAGGTACATTTGATTCACGACAATGGGCCGATGACTTCTTCAATAAGGTAAATTTGATCAGTGGAATTCAACACAAGAACCTTGTAAGACCTTTGGGTTGTACCATTGAAGCCCCTCAATGCCTTCTTGTTTATGAATTTGTACCCAACAAAAGCCTTGATCAAATCGTCTTTGGTAAGGAATCATTGTGATTTTTTATTTTTTATTTATAAACATGCTCATGATTTTTTTGACTCTTTAGTTTTAGAGTGCTGTCCTAGCATTATCACCTAATAAAGCCAATATATATATATATATATATTTTTTTTTTATGACCGATGTCCGGACTAGTTTACACGCACCTCAAATTAATAGCCAGAAGACAATTGTCATCTCTATTTAAAAATTGATAATTATTCCAAGACATGAACATGCAGAAAACAAATTGCTCCATTTCTTAAACCACATAAAACAATTTTTCCCTGCAACAAGAGATGAGTTTGTTACATTGAAATCATATAGTGATAGTCAGTTTACCACAGACAAAGGTCATGTAATGATAATAGATAAACAATTATCAAATAAAAAATGTAATGATAATATATAGAAGTACAATAATGCCATTTATAAATCTTGAGATGAGGTCAATATCTACTAAGGAAAAAGTTGTTGACTTGATTATGCAAAGCCTATTAACTGTTGATGTGCAAATTCTAAATTACATATTAGTGCCACATGGAACCTAATGGAATTAAGATTTTAGTCAAGTAAGTTTTATGTCAAGTTTCCTTTAAGTTAATGTGTTGCAAAGTTTGCTGACAGCCGACAGGGTTGTCATTTGTTAAGTTCATCAGGACCTGCCACAAGGAGGATAGTATTAGTGTTGACAATCATCACATGAATCACAACCACGTCAAACAGATTCTCAATAAAACACATTTTTAGCCACTCCATTGCAGATGCTCTCATCTTTTCTCCAACTTCTATATTTCAATATTCTATTTGACACAAGTAAAACCAATAATATAAAAAATATTAGGAACTGATGGGCAACTTAGCTGAGTCGGTCATTACAAATATAGTTATATTTCCACTGGCTGCCATTTTAAAATTTTACTCCTTTGAGCAGTATATTAGAATCTTTTAATATCACCACAAATCCAGATGAAAATTCCTCAAAGCAAACTTCTTGAATCATTCATGAGAAGCCAAATTACAGAGTAATTATCAACATAGTGGTTTGCAAGGGGGATAACACTTACTTCCAGATCAACTGATGTTCTGCTTTATTTGCTGATGCATACACAACCTCAGCATCACCAGGTCACCGCCCAACAAACATCAGGGGAATTATCTGGAACAAACACGAAAAGAAAATTATGGCTCTTGTCCACACAAACGAGAATATGTCAATGTTTAATAACAAAAATGCCAGTTTTCCTTTTTTTCAATGTCCATTTATGATGCCTAGAGTAACCTTTTGTTTATCTTGTTTTCCTTTCTCTTCCTGATGAAGACCCAATACTGGGTGGTACATTGACCTTGGACTCGGGGTGACCTTTGGGAGGAATCACTTGATGTACATTTAAAATGACATTCACACATCATATACGATTCTGTTGTTATCCACTGAATTCGAAAATGTAACAGAGGAATAAATGGTCTATGAACCAAAGCCTTGTTTGGTTTAGATTTCACCAAACTTCACATCTGCTCTTAAAAGTCTGGGATATGAAAATAATGGCCCCAAAATCTAAGACTTTGCAAAGTTTAATTCAAGGAACTATTGAGAGGAACACCAATTCAATCTCCAAGCACTTGCTTACTCAGGAATCAGTAGAACAATTTAAATATATATATTGAAAAAACTCACATCAAATGAAAAGGAGAACTAGGATATAGAATATAGATTATGTCCAACATAAGAAGTTAGATCATTTTTTAAGATTTGGCACATTGGGAAAATTTAACACACAGGTTCAACAATTCAGTACCTTTCCAGATGCATTTTTGAATGCTGTTACCATTTCCAAAAATGATGTTCCTTTTCCAGTTCCAAGGTTGTAAACTTCACAACCTGCAGTGACATCAATAATCAAGCAAATATAATGATACCTAGCCACATCATTCAAGAATTTTCATGCCAGCTTTTACATTCATGTAATACTAAGCAACTTTTAGACTTAACCAACATTACACTTGTGCACACGCATAAGTGTGCAACATGCATAGAAAAGCATAATTGAGGCATAGATAAAGTTTCAGGGGTGCCCTAGCCCCCAATATATATTTTAAAAAAACTAAAATAGCCATTCTTGAGTTAGCATTGATCTTAATATTCTTACACTGCTTGGTCACTTGAAGTCTAATAACTAGTTTACCAAAAAAAAAAAAAAATTCTAATAACTCAATCAAGTCCATAGAACAGTAAATAATAGGGAAAATCTACATCTAAAAGAGTTCAAGGAATGGCGCTCATGCAAAAATGCATTAAAAAATAAATCTACTTTTAATCATATTGATTTTTTTTTATATATAGAGTAGATGACATAAACAGTTATTACTAAGAAGTTTAAAAGTATATAAAACCTTGTTGATCTTTCGCCATCTCAAATGTGTTCCAGTTAAAAAACACGAAGGGTCTTTATATCAACTAAAGCAATTCGTACTCTTGTGGTATTTGACAAAGACATGATTTCAAACACTAAGCACAACATATAAAGATTAAAGCCTACCTAGTAGATGAAATATAGGCTCCATAATTTTCCATATAGATTATCATGAATCTAGGGGAAATAACATATAGATAATCAGAAAGTGTAATGGTGCATATAATATACACAAAAATGCAAAAATTATAATTGTTCGGCACAATGGTAAAAAAAAATTTGAACCAAGGAGCTCTCAATGATACAGACAACCAATAAGACAAGTCAAAATAATTATACTAACAACTCAGTCTTCGCAAGATTGACAAAATGAAGCACCAATTCCTGAGCAATGGAATGGTAAACAAGAAAAATAACAGAATAATGAATGCGACTTCAGGACTACAGAACTCATTAGCTTCTTTAATTCTTCCAATAATCACAACTTATGCAACATGTTAAAATTACCTCTTCCAAAATATTGAAGTATCAAGCACTAAGCAATGCAAACCAAGTAAATCACGTCCAGATATTGGACTGTTGCTTGGTTCTTCTGAAAGCTCCCCAGAGCAAATGACTACCAAATGATAAAGATCTTTTGCCAAAGCCCTATGACAGAAAGGTACTTGATAATGATTTACTTCAGAAAACTAACATGTGAAAAGCTTCTAAAAGCATCAACAAACTAAATATACTTAGTTTCATCTCATTTAACAACATACGTACGTATGCATTCATTTCTTACCGATATTATTTCCCCAAAAAATAAGATATCCATCAAAGATTTATGAACACACGTATACAAGAAAAATAACCACATAAAAGAAATCTCCAAACAACTTGGACCCATTTCATTCATGATTGCTACAATCATATAAATCAAGATACATGAGTTAATGAAATGTAACAACTGTATTTCTAACAGGTTTCCATTCAATAAGCTGTCTTGCTTGACATATCTAATCGACTTATTTTCCAAATTTATTCCATATGCACTTGCATCTGTCAGAAATTTCCTCTAACTCTCAATAGATATTATGTAAGACCATTGACAACTTCATACAAGTTATATTGTTGTACAGGCACAGATAAAATTTTATATTATTTTTTCTTAGGAAGAGAGAGACTAAAAACAAAAATAGTTCACTTTTTTTTTTGGAAAAAAAGAAGAAATTTATTTTAGGTCATAATCATTTATGATTGCATCAAACGTAGACCACTGAATATTAGCTTTTGAGCCTTTTCGAAAGAATTCCTCGTGATTTTTATTTTTGCTTGGCCTGTATAAGACTTTTGTTTGTAGTCCCATTCATGGGATTTGTCTCTACTTCAATATAGTTAGTATTCTTTCCAGGTGTCTTGGCTCAAGCAACAGAAATAACAATGAATCAAATTGGAAATGAAATTACCCAAATTGTACAGCATAGAACAATAAATGTATATATATAAATATATATTCATGAGGAAATAGAGACTAGCTCTCCATAATCATAAGCATCAAATAATTAGATAAATATCAAGGATTTTAAAACCACCCAAATTAAGGATAAGCATACCTTGCAAATTGAAGCATTCAAAAGTCGACAAATGATGTGGTTGTCCACTGGCTGATTAGAGAGAGAAAACTAGTGTATATTCTGGCAAATAATACCAGGGTTGTAATCCACAAGGAGACTCATAAAAATAATACCAAAAAGAATAGAGACTAATAAAGGGGATACAAATGAACCACATTTAGAGTTATTTCCTCTATGGTTCAATCCAGTAATTAACTTACAACTTTTCCAATGGGAAATATGCCAAATATACTAAAGTAGATGCTCCCATCTTTGTCCCCACTGCATAAGATATTAAGTCGTTGATGTGAAGAACTTGATAGCTCCCGAAATGAATCTTCACTTTTATCCATGAAGCCAGTATCTCCAGGTACCACCCCAGGCATTTGAGGAACCCTTGGTGCAGAAGGAAAGAAACGAGAAGTGCAGTCTTCATAAGTTGAGATGTTACCAGAGTTATCCTGACTCCCAATAGAGAAAGAGAGACTTCCATTCATATGAGGAAAGTAAAGAGAAACAAATAAAAGCCTTTAACATCAGTGAAATTAAACTGGACAAGCATATTAATGAATACTGATAAAATGTCAACCTAATTTTAATTAAATTAATTTTAAAACTTAGCAAATTACAGTTACAGTTGCGGTAAGATCTTTTTTACTTAGAAAAAAAAAGAGGCTTTAGAGTGGTAGGTTTCAAGATCATCAGCCCTTTTTATTTCCTAATTGAATATGTTCGAGCTTTTACATTAAGCTAATATCTAATTCTAGCATCAAATGCTAAACAAATTCACAAATAGCCTTAATAATGCTGAAGCAGAGGACCATCAACCCAGCAACCCTTAATTCAAACCCTCATTCATATCAATTAATAAAGGTGAACCGTCAATACCTTTGCCAGCTAACTATTATCGTGTATAACCAATAAGCGGATTGCTCTAGGACTAGTGATCATCACCTTCAATTTAAGAGATTGAAAGTAAACCAAACAAATTAAGAGAACCCCAAATGTGAAAGTACCTCAGAAATCCAGAGAATGAAGCAGAAGGTGTTCGCGAAGAGGAGCGCCGGTTCAGAAACATGGGATCCAATGGATTTAGGAGGGAGGGAGAGAGAGAGAGACGGAAAGAGAAGGTCAGAGGCTAATTCATCAAACCTCGTCGCAGGCACCCAGATTTCACAGCTGCCTCCTCTCGTCGTCGCAGACCCCGTCAGTCCGCCGTCAACCTCCGTTCGCCATTGCCCTCTGATTTTGCTCAACCTTCACCGCTCTCTGTTTGACGGGTTAGGGTTCAAGACAATGAGAGAGTGGAAAAGAGGGGTAAACAGCGTTGATTGGTATTTCCTTTGTATGTATCAGAGAAATAATAAATAAATAAAATTAAACATAAAATAAAATTAGGTGGTAAATATTCCCCTTAAAATTTTTTGATCACACTTATTTAGAAGTTGAAGAACTTATGCTGTTTGACGAGAGAAGGCTGAAAGCACTCTACCACGTTCAAGGGTATCAACGCAAAATTGCCAGGGCTTTCAACAAGAAAGTAAAGTCCAGGAATTTGAAAGAAGAGGATCTAGTGCTCAAAGACAATCGAGCTCCCATCGACGACCCTAGGGGCAAGTTCAGACCCAATTGGACTGGTCCCTACATCATCAAGTCAATCTGGTCAGGTGGAGCTATCGTTCTTATGGAACTAGGTGGCCTTGAGTTTTCCCTACCAATCAACATAGACAAGATGAAGAAATACTATCCCTGAGTGGCTCACTAGGCCGAAAACCTAAAAGGGCAACCTTGGCAAAAGTTAGAGCATGAAAAACTGAAATAAGAAAAACTGAGTTCGCAAGTTTGAAAACCCAAAAAGGGCGGTCATGGAAAAAGTTAGAGCGCAAAAGGAGAGTGTTAAAACCCAAGTGAACCAAAACCGAACTACGTAAGGCTTGATTCTCATTTTCGGGATACGTAGGCAACTTCATTCTGAAGTCCAGCCACAAACACTTCAAAATCAACTTTGTCCATATGATTGTTTAGGCCATCTCTGTCTACATTCTAGAGTTCGGTTGTGTTTTCCGATTTTTGGTGCAGTGCTCTTGAAACAAGGGGCAACTTTCCAGTTATGGGATATGGGGATGTACGTCTTAAGGATAGGTCTCAGGCGTGTCTAGTTGTGATCCATATCGGAAATAGTTTTGAAAAGTTTTAATGAAAGTTGATTTTGTTCAAATTAATCTTTTTATAACTTAGACCATTATTGGACCAAACGGAAAATTTTCAGTATCCACAACCTTCAATTTCAATGATTTCAGTATAGAGTTCTCCTACTCTTCAATAAAAATTGAAGTTGCTTTTTATTACATTCAAAAAGAAAACTTGAAAGTACAGATTAAAGCAATAAACTTGGGGCATACTCAGGTGTTCCTGCATCCCCTTCCAGAGCTTGTGGAAGCCTCTGATGCCAAAGTAGGCCCAACCAGCGCCTCTTCGTCGAGCCAAACTATGCACTCATTAGAAAGTGCACAGCTGAAGTTGGGAGCTGGGGCCAGAAGTTCTCTTGTTCTCTATGCTATGGCATACCGAGCTAGATGTGAACCCTTGATTAGATATGAAGCTAGATATTCCACTCCCTCTTATGGGCGGGTCTGGTCATGTCCGAGCTAATGCCGGAATCGAAAGGGAAAGTAAAAGACACAGTGTGTCAGGCCAATCAGTTGGATCCCGGGTTGGCGAGACATGCTGTAGCTCATCACCGGTAGATTAAGCCAAGGGCAGTGCCAAGCAATGTTCGGCTGCACATCCATTCGCACCACCATCCCTCATCTGGGGCATCAACTAGACGTTGCTGGAAGAAATAGCCGCGAGCTGAATATACTGGGCATGAGTCCACTACTTTCAACTTATCCATCAGCCATATTTGGAGAGGGATGAAAAATAAGAGATATTCAAGAACAGAGAGGTGTAAGTGGAGAGAGAAGAGAGAAAGGGTTTTGAGAGAAAAACAGAGCCTGAGGGCCAAGTGGTGTGAGAAATACACATATGAGAAGGGTGAGAAACATTACCTGTAAGAGTAGTGGACTCCCTGCGAATCTGGTGGTCTCCCGGCGATAGAAAGCATCTAAACCCATCAGAGTCTCAGCTAGTGTCATGCCAATGCAGCTCTTGCCCTCTTTCAAGCCGTGGGCGACCTCAATCAAATGAATGTTGGACCCTCCAAAGCCAGGGGCAAGAAAGAAATGAGACAACATGCACAGACAAAGGGTGTGTCGCGGAAAACCCTGCCAGTGATGATCACCGCGGTCACCGGCATCAGAAAACTGATGAATCAAGCTGGGGATGTCCAATTCCCCATCGCAAATCAAAGACTGAGCGTCATGCAAAGTGAGCCCACACATCCATCTTAAAGCTTGGATGTGGCCAAAACAAAATTGGGGCAAGATCTCGTCATCACGTTAAGATTTTATCAAAGTTTGGAAGTCTTCAAAAGTGGGACATGTCTCTTGTCCGCCGAAGTTAAAGACATGAGTTATCAGGTTCCAACACCTAGCTGTGGCATGGAGGAACGGAAAACGCAGTGGGGTACGGCTCAGTGTGAATAGTGCATTTATTCTGAAACCCTAAAAATTCAACTTTTCTGAGCCATCTAAAGCTGTGAGCCACTCGGAAAGTTTTTGGGCAAGAAACGCTTCCATTTCGTGCAAAAACTGAGTTATAATGAAGAAACTACGACGCTGGAGCCTTTTGTAGAAGATAAGGCACTAGTGGGGGACAGGTGGCAAAAATCTGAAGATCCCCTGTGTAACTGGTCGACCGACCACAAAAGTGGTCGACAATTCTTTTTACTGGTCGACAATAAGCCTAAGTGGTCGACAGACACTTCTTGTCTCCAACAGAGAGCCTCTAGCCTTTTTGTGTGCTGGGAATGCTGAATGTCTGAGTTTATTTCTACTTCAGATGCATCCTATTTTTGCTTATCGAGTTGTTGCGATTTACTTATCACGTTGTTGCAATTTGTTTATCAAGTCATATTCGTTTTGTTTATTGAGTTGTAGTTTTATTTGTTGGCTTATCGCCTTGGTTTGAGTTGTTTTGCTCAGTTTGTGTTTGTTTTGGTTGGTTCACTACCTGGGAAAGAATTGCCAATACCATGTTCGAAATTCAATTTCTATCAAATCTTATTTTCATGTTGTGTGGTGTTGTAGATGCTCAGAACATAAAATGTAACACTTTTTCCATCAAAGGCTGTTTTCATTTGCAATCATGGTTTCTTTTTTTACAAAAAGTACAAGTTTTGAAGAAAATAAAACTGCCTAAGGCTGTACAATGTGCTAATACAACTAGTAAAAGAAAACTAGGCAAAAAGAAAAGAAAACAAAGTAGAGAACATCAAAATCAGTGCCAAGTATCTCAAGATCGAGAGGCTCTCTTCGTCCTCTTCCTCAGCTGCGCAGACTCAACACTTTCTTCATCAACACTGCTATCTGACTCTGAACCGGAACCGGAACCAGAACCAGAGTCATCTCCGCTCCCATCCTCGGTGCTCTCCTGAGCATCGTCACCGCCCTCAGAATCTGAGCCGGGGTCACTATCTCCACCATCTGATGAATCTGATCGGGGACGCGCTGACTCCTCACCCTCACTAGAATCATCATCATCCTCATGAATGACGGGTCCCCAACGTCTCTCTCGGCCACGTACTGATGCAGGGAGTCCTGATGGTACTGCCGCTGGCTCTAGCGGTCTTGTTTGCAGAGGTGTAACCTGAAAAGGGCAATTTTGAATATGTATCAGCCATGGTATGTGTATCGGATGCAAGTATGGTGTGCAGAGCAAATATATAAAGAGATCAAATATGGTGTGCATGCAGTGTGCTGTGTCAGATGTGATCTGTGCATACAGTGAATCTGTGCAATGAAATTTTCAGTTTAGGCATATCAGTGGTAATATGATGACCAAAATGCAAGAAGACTGAAGGGTTACCAGAATGCCATGGGAGTGCAGCATCAACTCTCTTCGCAAGACCATATCCTCGAGTAAGGCCATCGCCTCGAGCAACCCCTCGACATATCCTGTGGAGGGCCGCAAATGCAAGTTGAAGCCATGAATGAATGGATGAACAAATATCTGAATGAAACTAAAATGCATGAAAGCTGTAAAGTGTACCGGTGGTGAGTCAGGTGTCCTGACGTATCGATGATCAGGCAATAGGGGCTCAAGTGGAATCTGATAAGGTCCCCCACCAAGTCACCAACCTGTCAGCTCGGTCGGAGGATCTGGCCATCGAACACATTGCCCAGAAAAAGGCATCCCTCGGGACTCACCCCTCGGTGCCCGAGCTCTGCTCGTCTAGAGAGCATCTGCTGCTCAATCTCTACTCGATGAAGGAATGTCAACAGCCCTCCCCGTAGGAGCACGAGCGCCTGCCAAAGGAGGCATCAGATATACCTCCATGTAGGTCGTGTAGTCACCCTATCTGATATAGTGGTCTGCCTCTTCACCCCGCATGAACTCAATAATTCCCTGAGGGAAGAGCATATCTGTCCCCCGGATGGAAGGTGGGGGTGGCAAAGGAACTGACTGCAGTGGTAGGCCCATCATTTGGTGCATGAAGCGCTCACCAAGAAACCAGGCCCGGCTTGCGGGTCCCTCGAACAGGATTTGATACTGGGAGGCACCCCAAGCTCCGGCATACTAGGACTGAACAAACCTTGGCATCGATGCCCAAGGCTGCCATGCTATCTGCAAATAACAAGTGTGTGCACTGATTAATTGTCATCAGTTATACAAAATGAATTGTAGATGAAAGCATGAATGACTGCAAGTCTCAAGTTACCTCGGTCGTCCTCACTGAGTCAAAGTACTGGCGCAGGTAGGGGAGTGTCTCTCTGGCTCTCGGTTGACATCTATCGTCATATCGATGTTAGTATGGCACCTCAAGCGGTGTCTGAATCTCTCGTTCGGGGGCAAGTGTTGGGAAATAGGTGCATACCCACAGCTGTAGAAGACAAGACAGTGGCAATAAGAATACAGAATACACAGAAAATGCAGAATGCAGAGTGCAGCATGCGGAGTACAGAATGTAATATGTGCAGTGTATGGAGTGTGCAGTGTACATGTAATGAAAAGCAGACATGTAAATCAAAAGGGCTGAATGTACCTCCCAGGCTCTCCAATAGCCACCTACTATGTTCCCGCTCCTACGGGAGGTCAAGCTCATGTAGCAGTAAAGGGTAGCAAGACCAGTCCCTCCCCAATGGAAGTGCCCAACCTGGGATAGGTCCACTAGAGCACTCAAAAGATGTAGCCCGACCGTGTTCCCCCTATCAAAGAATAATGTGGTCCCAAGAAGGAACATCAAGAATCC